GGGGGGGGGGGGGGGGGGATAAAAGAGGGTTTCTATGAATTAATCTGTGTTAACTGTTAATTTAATTAAGTAACGAACTGCAAAACAAAACTGGGCCCAATTGGTTAAGCTGTTAAAACGTTTATTGGATACAAACAAACAAACAACCAAGTATATTTTAAATATTGTTTCTTCTGCTTGATTTAATATTTTATAATACCAGGATGGAGACAGAAAATACCTCCTCTTGCAGGGACAAAAACAAGAAGACATTGAAGGAGATAGAAGATGCCCAGTTAGCCGCACACAGGTAAAAGATTGATTCATCTCTGCTTTAGCCGAGGGGTCGGAATAAGTGTAATATCACCAATAATTGATTTGAAAAAAAAAACACAAAATCCGCAAAATTTATCCAAATAGAACCTAACGCTTTCCTGGGCAGACTTTCCACTTAGGCTTTATTTTTTGTTCATTCTTTATTTGCTATAATGAAACCATTACTATTGGCAATGGCGAAAACAGAAACTAGTACATGGTCGGTGGTGGGAAAGATAGGCTGCATCAATAGAAGTTATTTAATTTAATAATTAAGAATCATAATCATTATGCTTGATATACTTTCTTTTAAATTCGACATTTGTTTTATGATTCAAAAACGTTTAGAGTTAAAAGCACAAATTGGATAACTTTTTTATTTTTTTTTATCTAATACATCTTGGTTTTTACAGAGAGGTAAACTATTTAATCGATTTATCAATTATAAGGGTAGTAAAATTAAAAAAAACATTCTTTTCCTAATGAAATGAATTCATTTCAAAAAATGTTTTACAATTAGTTAAAAAATCTTGCTTCATTAAAGAAATCATGAAATCATTTAGAGTTAAAAATTTGTAAATTATACCTCCAAAAGACGGAAATAAACGAATACTCATTTTTGTCATTTTTATCACTCTTTCTATGTCCTCTAAATTTTTCTTAACAACTTTAAGTTCCCTTGAACTTTTCTTAAACAGATTAGAATACAGCTGCATCTGGAAATAAAGTTCAATATGAGTTGAGTATGGAGCAGCATCAGGGGATGACACGGCTTAATTAGTTTTAAAATGAATGGGAATGGGAACTGCCGAATTATTACCGACACTTTTTAGTTATTATTTTTTATCAATTGTTGTTCAAATTCCAAGCACGCATTATTTTATTTCTGAGAGCGAGCATCCATTTTTCTACCTTACATTACCTGAGACTACACTGAACTATACCATGTGAACACACTAATATTTTTCTACCTTATATTACCTGAGACTACACTGAACTATACTATGTGAACACACTAATATTTTTCTACCTTATATTACCTGAGACTACACTGAACTCTTCTTTGTGAACACACTAATATTTTTCTACATTATATTACCTGAGACTACACTGAACTATACTATGTGAACACACTAATATTTTTCTATCTTATATTACCTGAGACTACACTGAACTATACTTTGTGAACACAGTAATATTTTTCTACCTTATATTACCTGAGACTACACTGAACTATACAATGTGAACACACGAATATTTTTCTACCTTATATTACCTGAGACTACACTGAACTATACTATGTGAACACACTAATATTTTTTGAAACTTATTCTATTTGGCAACTTCAATCATTCATTCATGACGGGACTTAAAGAAGCGTTAGGTCAATCTTTATTTTTAAGCCCTTGAGAGCTTATTTCCAGAATTAAGATTCTTAGCAATTTTAAATTTTATATATTTATTTACGCACATTTTAGAGGAACCAAAGTAGGCAAACATCTTTTACTAAAGTTGGAAGATATTATATTTTCTTTATATTTTCTTTTTACATGACACAGTCTAATTATTTATTACTTACTTTTAAGCATCTGTGAATTTTATGACTTAATAACCTTAATATTATCATAATTCTAAGAATAAAATGAATTATTAAATTTGTGCTCTTTACTTTACACTTTAACATAAGAAACATATTTACTATTTAGATGTATGATTCGTGATGTGCCAGTAAAAGTTCCTGAACCTGAAGATTTTATCGCTGAATACATATTTCCATCTCATATAGTGGTTCCAAGATGTTCAGGTTAGAATTTTAAAAATTCATGCATATAATTCATGTGATACCTTAGCGCCCCGAAGTATAAAGTAATGCACAGACTATTTCGCACGTTCGCAAGTATTTTCGATTAAAGAAGGAGAGAACACAAAAGATGTATAGCAATTCTTACAAAACAATTGCCTGAGGAAACAAAGGCATTCATTCTTTACAATTCCTTTACATGATTTACCGCAATTTCGTACATAATGTGTAGAAAATCAATAAAAAAGTGTCTTTGAATTTTTATGGCTCTTTAATCGACATTAAAATCAAATACTCTGTTCGGGACATCAGAATTCTAACAATCAATTATACTACAAATTACAAGCATAGAGAATAGAATATATTAGAGAGTAATTAAAAGAATCTCTCGGTATGAATTTGTTCAGTCCCTTTCAGCCTGAAAGGGAGTTCAAAGTGTGCAAATCATGTAAATGTTCACAAATTATATGCAGTAGAGTACATTAATACAGTATGTTCTGTGAAGTACACCTGCAGTATGGAAACAGTACAACAAAATGGCCGTTTTACACTTTTTTCTAGTAAATTCCTCTCTATATATTCTATTCTCTATGATTACAAGTTAAATCCACTACGTAAATGCTACAGGATGAATTTTTACAGTTCATATATCTATTCTATAAGAATTGCTACATTCCAGTATAACATTGCCGACAGCTTTTATGTTTTAAGAGATTTAAACAAACAAACAGTTTCAAGCAAAGTTCATGAATAAAAAAAAACCATTTTTGTTTGATTTGATTCTGAATTTGATACAGATAGAAAGCTAGTTAAATGAAGAATAGACTCATTATGTGCGAATTACTCCCATTAGCTTGTAATCACTTTGCACTGGCACTAGATGTATATAAATGAAAGGCCGGGAAGGAAAGGGAGCAGAGCTTTAAATATCAATTCCTTTAACCGTTTAAGATACAATGGGTAAAACAAGACAATAGAAAATATGACATAGTCTGGATATTTTTCACAGATTACTATTTTCAGTATTTTCTAGCTAAAAAAAAACTAAGGTGAGATAGAGTGATAATGAGAGAGAAGGGACCAGCTCAGATTTGATTATCCTAATATATTATGTGTGAACTGTCAACTCAGCAATCAGAACATATTGGTTTCATTCTATTCTTTCTAACATAATCAAGTCTAGCTTAGTCTAATCCAACAATTCAAACACTTTACTTATTTGTGAACGTTTGTGAACGTGGCTATGTTATCAAAGCACTTTTTATGTCTAAATCATGAAATTTGGTATTTCTTAGGGGTTTGCTTGGAAAAATCTGGGTTCTCTTGTCATGCAAGAAAGAAACCCAAACTTGTCTCTCATGAAGTTGTCCTCTACAGTCTCAATGGAACACAGGTATGATTTAAAAGAATATTTAAAGAAAATGAAAATAAGATTACATTGTTAATTTTTGTCTTCCGATGTTATCCTTTCCTTTAAACTAGAGGATTTTCCTCAATAGAAAGGTAGAATTCAGTTATTTTGTTAAGGTTTGCAGAAATATTGAGCTAGAACACCACAAGGGCCCATGCCGTTGTTCCTGCCAGCTCATTGCAGCAGAGTGTGGCCCAGCACAAACATTTGATTCGAACGAGTGTAGGTGTACCTGCTCCAGAGATATGAATCCAGCTAAATATCAATGTGCACAAGTATGCATTTTAGTTGATATATAATACGTTATAATTTATTTAATTGGTCTGCTCTTTTGAAAAAAATTAAGTTCTTCAAATTACCACTGTATGTACATCATCCACTGTATGTACATCATGCACTGTATGTACATCATCCACTGTATGTACATCATCCACTGTATGTACATTATCCACTGTATGTACATCATCCACTGTATGTTTATCATCCACTGTATGTACATCATCCACTGTATGTACATCATCCACTGTATGTACATCATGCACTGTATGTACATCATCCACTGTATGTACATCATGCACTGTATGTACATCATCCCCTGTATGTACATCATCCACTGCACTACACAGGAAAGCCGACAATTTCTTACAATTTTTGTTATTTGTAAAATTAAATTAACTACACCCTCTCTGAAATCGCTATACACAGAAAAATAATATTACATATTTTAGAGCATCGGGAGGATATGGGATGACCGACTCTGTAGCTGTGAATGTGTGATTCAACAGTGTCAAGGAATAACTACCAGATATTTTGATTTTCATGTTTTTATTCCCTGTCATTTTTTACCGACTCTGATTGAGAAATATCTATATTTAACCTGTAGATCTTGTTGAGACAAATTGGAAGGAAATTAACTTTACAGTTCCGAAGATTTCCGATATTTCTTGGAACCAGGACAAAAACTAGAAAACTATTCTCTCTTTTCTTATGTCCAAAATAGCAATAAATTTACACTATATTTATGTAATAATAAAACAAACTACTTATTATATTTTTATATTTTATTTTGCATCTTCCAATCTTGAATTTTTAAGAACAAAAAATCTTTACAAGTGTTGACAAGAAAAGTAATTTAAAATTCTCAATCGAAGGTATCTAATTTTTGGTATTTTAAAATAGTTGGTGAGCGCCTGGATCAGATTACATGTAAATGTATTCAGGAAACACATACAAATATTAGATCTTGTTAAAAAGATTTATTATTTTCTGTGGGTTAAGACTCACCCGTTTTCGGACCTTTTAAAATTTTCCCTAATTCGTATGCATATTTCCTTCTTTTAGATCCTATTTTTGTTATGAAATTAGATTTTATTAAAAAAAAATACGAATCTAGAGCATTCAGCTCTTTTGAGTATCAGTTAGAATCAGACGCGCAACTAGACATTTTGTTAGAGGGGGGCAAGATGGAAAAATGTCGCGCCAAGCGATAAAAAAATTTATGTTGCGCCCCCCCTCAAGATGGGGGGGGGGGACAAATAAAATGTTTATTATACTCAAACAATAAAAAACTAATGTTACCAACCGGATATTCAGTAAAACTACACATCTTATATGAAATAACAAAGAAATCTATTCTGGTTAATATAAATCACAATATCAATTAATTTACAATCTCAGAAGACATTAGTTCCAAAACTAACACTTGGCCCATTTCTAACACTGAGTGTTAGAGATGGGCACAAATTGAAAGACTGGGTGTTAGAGATCCCGGCATATCCAGAGTAAAATTCGATAATAAATGCTTTAACCAACTTATAAAATAAATCACTGGAAATAAAAATTATCTTTTGATGATTTATTTTCAAGCATTTTAAACAACATTTCCCCGCATTTCTTGTTTAATCTATATATTGTAAGAACAAATGATATTAATATTTTGATTTCTCAATGCTGTAATGATTTTTACTTTACAAAAGAACAGTGTGTTTTTATTTTGTTTTTTATTTTGTTTCTATCTTACCTATCAAAAAATCTTGTTTTGTTACGTAAGTGCGTAAATGCTTAAAAATTGACATTGGTATGAATTCCGGTAATTGTCTCAAAACCAGGATATGTTCCGAGCTGAAATCCAGTAAATGCTTCAAAATAGGGATATGTTTGAAAATGAAATCAAGAATCATCAAAAACTAATTCTCCAACCTTATTATTAGATTAAAATTTACTGTTTCAATATTTAGTTAGCAGATTTCGCCCATTTCTGACACTCAGTGTTAGAAATGAGCCAAATGTTAGTTTTGGAACTAATATCCTCTAAATTTATATATATATATATATATATATATATTATATATATATATATATATATTCATTATTCATCCATAAATCAAATATGTACATTGTACTCACACTGACAAGAAATGCCTTTCATTAAAAAATCATGACTTTAAATGAAAAATATTTTTTTTAATATGACACATCACACAATATTAATTTAATAGTTGTACTACAGTATTAAAGCTTTATCATAATAAGTGGCAGAACCTAAAGTGAAAATATCTAAAAATACTTATTAAACCTCCTTTCCTAATCCCAGGAATTCATCAATCACTAAATTGCAAAACATGATGGACTTCTTGCCCCCCCCCCTACAGGGGGGCAAGCCTTCTTAAAAGAGGGGCATGCCCTCTCCCTAATTAGGCTAGAGGGGGGGCCTTGCCCCCCACCTAGTTGCGCGCCTGGTAATATAAATATAAGTAGATATTTAAACCCGACCATGATACAAAAAGATAATTGAATGTGGTATTCATTCAGATTCCAACCTCATGTCAGCTGAGTCCAGTGAGTATAGAAGGTAAATGTCTAAAATTTTCATACTTGGGCATGCAAGAAGGATATGAAACTGAATTTGTAAAAGACAAATTATGTTTAAAATATAACAATAAGGTTGGTCTTATAATGGTGAAAATAAACCGACGATGACATTTAAATCTAAAAAATTGTTATGCAAATATTTCAAAATGTTATATAGTTTGAATGTAGCTTAAAAGAATCATTTCGTATTGAGAGTGTTTAAATAGAATATCAAAGATATTGAGTCAAAACCCCCCAAAGTTACTCCCATTTTCTTTGATTACAGTTTAATGAATACCGTTATGAATTATTTCAGTTAATCATTTTGGAGTTTGGGTAAAAATCAACATCATTGGAGTACTATCTGATACCATCTCTTATTGGCGTTGAGACACCCTCTCCCATTTCATCGGAAATCTGGGGGTCTCCTAAGTAAAACTTTGGGCCTTTTTAATGAAAATTCGGGGGTCCCCGATAAGATGTACCAATTGTACTCCAATGATGATGATTTTTTCCAAGATTAATCTTTACGTGAAATTTTGATAACAGTCTCTTATAATAAAGTTCTAATTTAGAATCTAATCTTGGTGCACATCCTGCCAGACTTACTACCTACCTAGGTACATATGCATGAAGGAACACTCCATGTAAAGAGAACTAAGCCCGAGTCCCACCAGTATCCTTTACAACTTTGACTGATCAAGGAAGATGAATTTATTTGTATTTATTTACAGCCTTGTAAGAAATAACAATATATACTTTCTGGAGGAAAGCAGAAAATAAAATATTTACATACGAATTGTAGGACACAGTATTTTCTGGATTTTCGTAAATTACATTAGACAACACGTGCTAGCAAACAATTGGGTTTACTGCGATTTAAAAACGCTTTTAGAGATAAATACACAAGTTCTATACTCTTGATGATCAGTTAAAGGTTTAAAGGGTAGCGTTGTATACCGGGAATTGCCATCTTTGCATGGAAGGTCACTTGAAATTAATATTACAGCTATAAAATAAGAAAGCGACGGAACGAATTTGAATTTATTTAGCTTTTATCGTCTTCAGTTTTTTCTTGTTACATTTTAAACATTTTTCCCAACACAAAAAAAAATTGGCCTCTACCTGCATGAACGATGTTTAAACGTTTTTATGGATAAAAACAAACTGACAAGGCAAAATTGTATAAACTATATACATATTTGTGGATTTTGGCATTCTGGAATAATTAAATACTATCCAAGAAATCAGCATAGGAATAGTACAGAAGAATAAGATACTATTAGGATAGCAGAAAAAGATAGACTAAGGATAGCAAAGTAAGATAGGTAACGAATAGCATAATCAAACAGGAATAGGATAGCTGAATAATATAGGAATAGGATAGCAAATTAAGGTAGGAATAGAATATCAGAAATATTAAATCCGAAGGTTATCCATTACAACGTTTATTTGATACAAACAAGCAGGCGAGCCGGGACAAAAATATACAAATGTACATACACATTATACATGCATATTGTATTGTTTTTCCTATAAAATTAAACACGCCCAACTTAATATCTTTGAACCAAGCTAAGAACATTCCCGTGTTTTTACAATCAAAATTTGGGGCAAATTGGACATTCAACAGATTATATTTAAGCATTCTGTTAGCATGGAGAGATCTGTAGGCATAAAAAGCTTTTTTTTCTTATAATTTACTATATGTATTAGAATAAATTGATTAAAATTGCCTAAAATACCTGTAATATGTCATATAACAAATAACAATAAATACATTAGTTGCGTCAAGCAGGATCATTGTGTGTCTAAGATTAATTCAGTTTAAAAGGATATGATAGAGCTGACTATTTCAGGGAACCCAAAGATAAACAACACAAGATAGAGACATAATTTGAGTTTAACTAAGTAATGGACTTCATGATGACCAAAAGAAATATAATGCATTCTTAGCAAATGCTAAAAAAAGAGGAGGAAAGATTAAAGGCCGAGTTGAAGAAAGATGGAGAATTATATACATGTAATTAACTGTATTAAAATTTCAAAAACTTCAAATCCTAGTTTTATTTAAAGTTTAATACCTAAATGAGGACTATATAATGACAATCTGTTTATAAATAATAACATATATCTGAACAATCTGTTTTTGAATAAGAAATATATCTTGACTATCTGTTTCTAAATAAGAGCTTTATATTGACCATTTGTTGTCAAATAAAAAGTATATTTTGTCAGTTTGTTTTAAAATGAGAAATACATTTTGACAATCTGCTTTTAAATAAGAACTATATCTTATATTTTGACAATCTGTTTCAAATAAGAAATTTTTCTCTTTTTTCAGATTCTCAAGATAAAGTTTTTATTTAAAAGCATATTGTCAAGATACAGTTTTGATTTATAAACAAATTTTCAAGATAAAGTTCTAATTAATAATCATATCTTATTTTGTATTAGTAAATGTTTACTTTTTTAATCAGTTTAGCTTAAGTCTCCCCAAAAATAGATGGTCAAGATTGATTTGCAGATCTACTCTCCAGAGTAGGGCTGGCCATGTTCTGACTTTTTTCAGCCATTCCGTTAACGGTTAGTTCTAATCATTAACAAAGTAAAATTTAAATTTGCCGTTAATATCAAATTTTTTGAAAATATTGTTAGTTAACGTTTAAAATTTTATAAACAACAATGGCTCAGCCATTATTGGTGTTAATGGCGCAAAGCGCCTAAAAAAGAGCATTAATGGCACAAAGCTACAAGAAAAAATTATGTTAACGATTTAATAATTTCTTTTTTAAAGTTAAATGCAATTTTAGGTTAAAATTTTTTACAAATTCTGTTAGTTTTCAAAACCTCCAATTTGATAACAGAACTTTGCCCAGCCCTACTCCAGAGTGAGTTCCTAACCTGATCAGAATTATCTATTGTTTCTAAGGTTTATCCGCTGTATCAGCTCTATCATATCCTTTTACACTAAATTAATCTTAAGCACATTATTTTATTTTTTTCAATCATATTCAATATTTCAGACACACAGCTCATTATTTTATTTATTTTTTCCATCATATACCTCTTTTTAGGCAATTTTAGAGACACGCCTATGATGCTTCTGTGATTAAATTCGTTGTCAGCTCTATCTATCCTTTTGAACTGAATTAAGTTTAGACACACAGCTGATTATTTAAATTTTTTTAGTCATATCCCTCTTTTTAGGCAATTTCAGAGACACACCTTTGATGTTTCTCTGATTCAATTCATAGTCAACTCTATCATATCTTTTTAAACTGTATTAATTTTAGCCAGTCAGCTAATGATTAAAATTTTTTCAAACATATCCCTCTTTTTGACATTTTAAGACAAACACACCTATGATGGTTTTCTGATTGAATTCATTTATCCTTTTCAACTGAATAGGTAATTTTGGCAATTTTAATAAATTTATTTATATATATATATATATATATATATGTATAGTAAATTATTTAAAAAAGAAGGTCATTTAAAAAATATTTTCTGATGTTTTTCATTTGGTTCTTGCAGAAAATTACATAAAAATGTGCTTCTCACATCCTTTTAGACAAATTTTTTAAATCAATTTATTATAAAAAAGTTGGCTTTCTATACAAGCACTGGAGAGGGAGGCTTACTTGTAAATATGCCTGTAGTCAACAATAGCAGTGGAGTGGATGATAAGTTGCCACGTGTAAAGTGTATTAAGATATTTTGTCCGTTAAAAGATGCTATCCTAGAAAACATGTTGTCAACGCGTGCTTTAAACGCATGGAAAATCCAAGCCACTGTTGACCCTAAGTTCTATCTAAAGCAAATAGGCTTGATTCACAAGGGAGCAGGAAATAAGATTTCCCAAGCTAAAGCTGAAATTGGGATAAGTCGTTACGAAGATCCGAAAAGAGGAAGGTCGACCCGTCACATGAGGCGGAAGAAAGGGGGAGAGTCTGTCAGAGAGCTCTGGCTTTATTCAAACCAGTAGTAGTATCAACTATTATCTGTTTTTTTTTTTACGCTGTAAACATTTTTTTTCATAAACTCTGTAGTCAATTCAGGTTTTAACATTTCTTCAACTTTTATCAACTTTAAATTGTAACAATTCATTTTCATTCACAAATTTTTTATGCACCTTTTCATGCATTTTATAAAAAATTGTTAACGTAAGGTTTTAATTAGATATATTTATTTTCTATTTAACAGGAATCGGGGCGTTGTCACTGGTGGCTATGACTATAATTGCAACTCTTTACTTCATGTTGGGAAAGAAAAGACCATATGGAGATCTCAGGTTAATTTTTTTTTCAGTAATCATTTTAAATGATATCCCAGCACAGCCTAGTTTAAAGTTATACTGAAAGAAAGATATATGCCATGATTAGATAAATAGAGAAAATTCGTTGAATATCTGATGGATATTTTTACTTATCTTTGGTCAAACTCATTTTTTAGGATCAGAATACTGCAACATTCAAACTTAGCAATAAGATAAAAAAAACCGTAAAACACAACAATATGAATAGATTAATTGGCACACTCTTTCAAATCCCGACATAAAAAGACTATTTTTTTTAATTTAAAGGAATATATAGTAGTTTAATATTTTGAATAAATCCCGAAACATATGAACTAAATTGAATATTCAGATTTTTAATGAAAAGGCATACACGCATTCAAAGCATATCTCTGAATATTGTAAATTACTGTTGATATACTGTGTTTACGTAAAAATCAATTTTATTTTGTTTAATACAGAGTTGAAAACTCGCCAGCAGTTCCGGGACCAGCATACACTATTACCATCAACCAGGAATAGGTCAAATCAATCAATTAATAAAACAACTTTTACACAGATAAAACGAAGTTTGATTTTGATTTTAGCTCGAAACCCTATGCCTAATATAACCCTCTTTTTCTACCTTTGTAATCTACGTGTACAATAGGATAGGTATTCGATTCAAAAAAGCTATATTAAAAATTTAAGGTAAAGTTATTTTTTCGAAACATTTTACATAAGACGGGACATTGACCAAAGAAATAGTGAAGAAAAGTGATATTAAAATCAAACAAAATTGAGGTCATTTACGAGTACATCTCCTATATTTTTTAGCATTTTTTATTTGGTCAAATAATTTTATTTCGAAATTTTTAATATTCATTATTACATATTTTAATCATTTTGGTTGCCAACTTTGTATTTTTTGAAAAGGTAAGCTGTAGATAAGAAAAATGTCTGAATTAAATTTTTTTTAAGGCTTATCTGTGAATTTTCAAATTGAACTCAAAATAATTATTTACCTAAGTTTACAATTTACATTACTTGTGTCTGAGTTATGAAATAGTTTGTTTTCAAAGAATTATATTGATGTAATTTGGCAATAAAAAAACTTATTTATAACTTGATTTGTTTATTTATGTTAGGCTGGTCAATGTGCTGAGGGGCTAATGCCATTTCCAGAAGAAGATAAAACCAGATTTTAAGTTGGAAGTATCTGTAAGCAAGATCTATACTGTACTGCACTGTACTGTACTGTACTGTACTGTACTGTACTGTAATGTACTGTACTGTACTGTACTGTACTGTACTGTACTGTACTGTACTGTACTGTAGAAGAAGAAGGGTACTGTTGTGAACCAGACACGAAAGCTACAAATGAAAAGTTCCTTGAAAACACGCCTACGGTTATTTTAAACCTGTTTCTGAGAAAGTTTTCATTTGTTAACCATAAAATGTTAATTCTGGCAATTTCTTTCATTGTCTTTTTAGTACAAATCTGCAGGTCATTTTTATACAGAACCCACAATTTTTGTAATCGATTTTCCGAGAAAAAAGGATATCTCATTCATCCTTGATTATACATATTTATAATGGGTATATGCCACTCTATATAAATTGACGGTTACTTGAAATGATGTATATTCAGACCCTTAAATCAAAAACCACTGTTTAAATTAACACTATTTGTTTTATTGAACTGCAGGGGGAAGAAGAGCAAGAATACGAGCACTAGGTGAACATTAAATTCTAGTGATTCTGTTGAGAAATGAGAATTATAAAACTGTGTGGAACAAATGTAGTCAACTGACGGTCGTTGGTCCTGTTGGCGCAATTGGTGCAATTTACATTTGTCGGCGTTAATATCAAACAATGAAGACAACTTTTTTATGTTTTGATTATTAGCTTTTTTGAATTACAGGTTTAAAAGTGAAGAAAGAGAAGCTGGCATTTTATAGCTTTACTTTGTTTCCATGATTATGTGTAACAATCCATGCTGTTTAAAAGCTGAAAGAAATAAAAATTAAAATCGAAAGTCGTCTTCATTGTATTGATTGTTAAGGGCACCTTTCTACAAAAATTACAAAATCCCTATTGCGGTATATTACAAATGAAAGAAAAAAGAAGACTCCGAGAATTCCATTGTTTTATGACTTTAAAGGAAGTTCCCAGAAAGCTGGTTTAATATGATTTAGAATAAAGTTATGAATCGATAGAGCGTATATTTTTCTATCCGATGTATGTGTATAGAGATAATTGATAAAACCGTACCCTTGTGTTTATACAGTAGTTAGCTCCCTTATTTCATCCTTATCCACTGTTAAATTTTTGTAGACACTCCCTTTCAGAAGAATGACTTTAATTTAAATAATATTATTTTGTAGGGGTTCCGCAACATGCTACTAACATTTTCGGAGACATGGTCCCCCTCGCAACAGCCTTTATCCATCCTGGAGGGTATATACTTTACAGATACTATACAGATACTTTACAGATACTTTACAGATACTTTACAGATACTTTACAGATACTTTACAGATACTTACTTTACAGATACTTTACAGATGCTTTACAGATACTTACTTTGCAGATACTTTACAGATACTTTACAGATACTTTACAGATCCTTACTTTACAGATACTTTACAGACACTTTACATATACTTTACAGATACTTTACAGATACTTTACAGATACTTTACTGATACTTTACAGATACTGTACAGATACTGTACAGATACTTTACAGATACTTTACAGATACTTTACAGATACAAATTACAAACCAATTACAAATTACAGATTACAATTAATACAAATATGTTTTTTTTTACTCCAATTAAACATTTGAAGATGTGCGGATTATTGGTAACTAATAATTTGGTAACTAACATTTTGGTAACTAACAATTTGGTAACTTGACAATTTGGTAACTAATATTTTGGTAACTTGACAATTTGGTAAATGAAAATTTGGTAACTAATATTTTGGTAACTTGACAATTTGGTTTACAATAAAATTCTAAAATGAAATAAGCAGGACTCTTTAAAGATTTATGATTCACCAGGTTTATTAGACTTTCATAAATCATTTACTTCTTTTACATATGATTACATTTAAACTACATGCTTATGAGAAAACTTAAATTAGCGCAGTACCTTCATCCAGGTACTCCTATACAGTTGATTCATCCCATTTGGAGCAAATGTTATGGAGCTTTCTCATTCGCTCAAGCTGGGTTTTGTTTCTGGAGCTGTTGTGGGACTGGTGGATATCTCTCAGATATTCTGCAAGCGTAAACTCTAGCAATAGACTCCTCTTTCGGGAAGCCTTTAATCACACTCATCAAACCCTGGCATTTTTTGAATCCTCTTTATATCTCTTACAAACGAAAAGACTATAGTCAGGTGTATTATTTTTCATGTAATACTGAAATTTTTGAGAATCCTGCAGAATTACACCTCCCCTCGATGTTCGCAGAAATTCGCACCCTGCCATTTTGAGATGAGGGATTGTGAACGTTACAAACAGTTTTAGCGGATTTGTCATATTAAACTTTTAAGAAATCTTGTATATTGTTTTTTCTCTCTATGCATTCAACAAATAAATATGCAAACCATGATTGTGTAACATTAGTTTCAATTATACAAATTGTTAGTTAACACATTGTCAAGTTACCAAATTGTCCAGTTACCAAATTGTCAGGTTACTAAATTGTCAGGTTACCAAATTGTCAGGTTAGCAAATTGTCAGGTTACCAAATTGTTGGTTACCAAATTGTTGGTTACCAAATTGTCAGGTTACCAAATTGTCAGGTTACCAAATTGTCCAGTTACCAAATTGTTAGTTACCAAATTGTCAAGTTACCAAAATATTAGTTACCAAATTATTAGTTACCAAAATATTAGTTACCAAATTATTAGTTACCAAATTATTAGTTACCAAAATATTAGTTACCAAATTATTAGTTACCAAAATATTAGTTACCAAATTGTTAGTTACCAAAATGTTAGTTACCAAATTATTAGTTACCAATAATCCGCCCATCCATTTGAAGTTACCAAAATAAAATTAAACGACTTTCCTTTCGTTCTATCTGTATCAAGAAAAATAAAAGATCATATATAATTCCTGCCTATTTATCGAATTAGCAAAAACAATTAGAATTCATAATTCTTTGCAGCCTGATGTCGTTGACTTTTGATGAAATAGCCAAAGTTGCAAAATTAAGAGTTTTGACAATTATAGAGTTGGAATTAGTTTATTTGCTTAAAATTAAATAATCTCTGACCAACCACAAACCTAACTAGATAAAAAAGTAGTGAATTAAGTACATTTTAAGGCACAAAGGAAATAACTTTTTGCCACAAACTCTAATTTAATCACTATATCATTGCACCCCAAAGTTTTGTGTATTTTAAACTATGAATTTTGTTAGATCAAAAATTCAAAGTTTGAAACATCAAAGGTTTACACCATCAGATTGCTAAGATTGCTAGAAAATTGAGTTTGTGACAAAAAACGTATTTACTTTTTAACTTTTTATCAACTTTAAATCATCATTTTATTTGTTTACTTAAAGGAATATTTTTATTTTAAAAATTGCTTTTCTTCAAGTGATGGAGATATAGAAATCGAGAAGTTGGTTAGTCTACAGATGAAGAGAAAACGGATGAAAGCTCAGCTAATGGATGATGGTCCCAGACAATCTCAGAAGATCCTTCTCATCATTCTTTGGATAGGTATGGGACCTGGAGTAGGTTTAGGAATACTGGAGTAGATGCATGAGTAGCGGAGTAGGTGCAGGAGTACATGAGTAGGTTCAGAAATACTGGAGTAGGTTCAAGAGTACCTGAGCAGTTCAGCAGTGCTGGAGAAGATTCAGGAGTAGCGGGGTAGGTTCAGGAATACTGGAGTAGGTGCAGGAGTACTGGAGTAGGTGCAGGAGTACTGGAGTAGGTTCAGAAATACTGGAGCAGGTTCAGGAGTGCTGGAGTAGGTTTAGGATTAACGGAGTAGGTTCAGGAGTACTTGAGTGGGTTCGGGAGTACTGGAACAGATTCAGGAGTACTAGAGTAGGTTAAGAAGTGCTGGTGTAGGTTCAGGAGTATTATATTTGCTTCTGGAGTATCGTAGTAAGTTCAGGAATAGTAGAGTTGGTTCATGAGTTTTGGAGTGGGTTCAGAAGTGCTGGAGTAGGTTCAGGAGTACTAAAGTACTGGAGTAGGTTTAGGGGTACTGGAGTAGATTCAGGAGTACCGGAGCAGGTTCAGGAGTGCTAGAGTAGGTTTAGGATTAACGGAGTAGGTTCAGGAGTACTTGAGTGGGTTCGGGAGTACTAGAGACTCTTAGGTTCCGGAGTACTTGAGTAGGTTCAGGAGTATTGAATAGGATTGGTTGAAAGTATTTAAATATTGATGATATGAAAAGTTTCCCCTGTTTCTCAAGGTACCTGGAGAGAGGATTGAATTATTAAGATTAAACTTTATACAGATTCAAGATGTGCTGAATACTAACATAAACACTTCATACTATGTCATAAATCATTATCTTTATTCTAGAAAATTCAATATTTTAAGTTTTACTTAATGGATTTAGTTCTGAATTTTCAATCTTGAATAGTTAATTTTAAACTTAAACATCTTAACTTCATAAATTTTTAATTTCTGGAGTTTAGAATTAGATTTCGATTTTGAAATTTCTAGTTTAAAATATCTTGTGACATGGGAGAGAGGAAGTTCTAATAAATAAGGAAAACTTGAATTGATAAATTTTTAAGTCAGAACTTTTGTGTTTCTCTTGATCTTGGGATCAAGCATTGATCTGCATATTATGCAGATCTATAGATTATGAGGAGATCATGAGTATTTATCCTAAAATTTAAAAGTGCCTACAATGGAGATTGAGATCAAGCGTTTAAGATAAAGAATACTCAAAACATTAGTTTCAACCTCGGTTTATTTACGCGGAATTAATTCATAATTTTTAAATTAAAGAGAGGATTGATCAAATTCTGAAAATTTCCAAGTTTGTTTAAGCCGCGGTGCTCCCCCCTCCCCCGCCCTAGTCCATCCTAGCCGCAGTGCCCTGCCCGCTGTGGCGCCCAAAGGCGGTGCCTTAGTAGGTCTAGCTAAGCCTTTGGAAAATTGCACATTTGTGGAGTTGCCACTTGGGAATTGTCACTTGGAAGGTCTCTTTTGGGATTATGCTTTTTGGAAATTACCTTATACCACCTTTTCATAAGTTTTAGTAGAGGACGAGTCAAGATATGGGTTGATTGGTGATATTTTCATCTCAATCCAATATATATATTTGATAAATTTCGCCTTAAATATGCTGTTTTGAACGGGTACGGCCCAAAGATATAAAAGCTAATTTTAATTTCTACTGGATTGTTAAGGAGCTGGACTGATTGGAGTTCTCAGATATCTGTTCGATCAAAATGGTAAAATAACATACAGGGTTATTAACAAAGGATGAAATTGTAAAGACGACCCGAAACTCTTTAAATCTGAAGATTCCAAGGTTAAATTAGGTCTTCTGCTTGAATATAATCTTTTAATGTATTATTTAAATATTAATAAAAGAGAGAAACAAGTTTACAGTTGCTTAGAATCATGATTATGAGGAATCAGACAGTATATTTTCTGTAAATTCGTCCTTGAAGTCTCAGTTTTTGGTGATAACCCTAATATATGTTTTGTAATGTTTAAACTGGTTTATAGATTTTAAAGTTTTAGTTTGGTTGAACAAGATCAAATAAGACGTTCAATTTGTTAATTTTTCATTCATTTTTTTCGGTGGGGGGGGGCACAATGGGGTATCAGGGAGGGGGGAGAGATCAGTAATGTGTGTTAAAGTTATAAAATCCGACAGAAAACTGGTCATTTCCGTGAAAACTCTTTAAAAAGGTATTTTATACATGAATCAGAGACAAAACAAATCCTTGGGCGCGCTTGCTACTGAATAATGGTCATTAGAATATATTTTTATTTCTAGATTATCCTAAATCCTCTGTCTGTAGTTTCTTGTGAAAAGGCTATAATGTATATATTTTTTTTACATCTTCTGTGTAATCTATCTACACTATGACCCCTTGAATGTTAAAGGATCCATTCATCAAGGTTATAATGCAAGGACAGTTATTTTAGTATCTTTTGTACTGCTGTGTCTCTGGGCGGTAATGTAAACACAAGACGGATGTCGAAGCCTGACATGGGATCCATCTTTCACAAAAATAATCAATGAAATATTCTGGTCATAGAAAACTATTATGTGAATTATCAAAATTATCAAAATTTAATGCTTTTAAACTCCTCGGATACTAAAATAAAACTGATGCATCTATTCTTGTTTACAAACAAAGTATACGCAACTGCAATTCACTTTCCTTGCTTTAAAACCTTGCATTTCATGATAAATATATGAACGGGAAAAATAATTATAAATTGAAATCATTTTAAATGGATACAAGGGAAAATTCATACAATGTTTGTAAATAAAGAGATTTCAGCATGTGTTTATTTTGTCCATTCTCATCATGAAACACAAAGCACATTCTTTAAACAAAAATGTCTTCCACCTTTTTGAACAGATTAAAGCTTGAAGGGTACCTTTTTTCAATCGGGTCTTCTTTGCATGGAGGGTAACTTGAAATTGCGCATACAGTTCATTTAAATAAGGTAAACTTGTAAAGCAGAAAGGCTTTAAGCTATATAGGTTTTTACAAAAAAAAACATGTCTGAGAAAAATATAGGTCTTTAACATTTTACAAGGACAATTGTGACCTGACCTGACCCCCTAAAATACCCCACTGTGCATTATAGCCCCACCTCCTGAAAAGAATCTTGATTCATTTGATAAAATATGGTTTAAAAAATTAATATTTTAGGAGAAAGTCCGAAGATTCAACGTCCGTACTTTCTTCGTCCCTTCCCAAACTCAAGTGACGTCATAGAGGAACAGTTCAGATCTTAATCAACCTAATTTCAAGGATTTGAAAAACTTACAGTAAAAACCAGAAAACTGTCGAAAAGGAAGACGACATTAAGGCAATATTTAAGTGTATTTAATATTGTTACACAGCAGATAGTTTAAGTAGTAATTGTTATTAAATCACTTAAACTAATTGAAATGGGTTTGTTTTTACACCGGACAATTGCTGTGTCTCATGTTCATTGGGCAATTTGAAGTCATTACTTAAGTCTAAAAGTCGGCTTCATATTTCAATACTTTTGTTTCAGACTGTAATCTTTTTAATAATTTATACTGAGCTGAAAACTTTAGAATTGTGAATATCGAGATCAATGCTTGATCCTCTCTTTTTGCTAATATCAAGACTAATTTAGTCTTTACCTTAATTTCTAGAGATTAGAGATGCGCTATTTAACTTTTAAAAACCGGTTTTTTAATTTTTGCGCATTTCCGGTGTTGATGGTGTCATATCAATTGAACTAATGATCGATTGAACAAATGTAATGTAACAATGTTGTGATTTTGTTGATCTTTTACGATCAGCGATTCAAGGGATTTTAAGATCGCTGAGATCATAGCTATCTAGGGGTATCATGCCCCCCCCCCCTTGTGCAGACTTTTGAATCATAACGGTTTTAGTTGTGTTTATATGATAATTCTAACAAGCCAAACAAATCTGTAAATAACCCAAGCGACGCAGTTGTTCCGTTATTCCAGAGGGCGGGGGCAGGAGGAGGCGGCCGACCAGCCTAGGCCCAGGCTAGGGTGGAGCGAAGCTTGGGGAAAAGGAGTTAGTTCGAGACGAACCCTTTTGATGAGAAGACGGGGAATTTCCTGAGCATTCTTCCCTGCATTTTTAGCATATACTAGAGTAAGTTTTGGATTAATGTTTATAACGGTTTACGTTCAAAATGGCTTTAGTTCAATCGGATATTAGTCCAATCGATATAGCATCGTATCTGTAATTGTTATCAAACGTAACTTGTATACAGTAGGAGTATCCAAAAAAGAGGATTAAGAAGAAAATCGAAAGAACATTGGATACTCAGATTAAGCGATCGTGATTTAGGTTATATCCATTTAATCTAAAGTTTTCAGCTCAGTACAATTAGCTAGATAACTTTGCTTAAAGATCAGTCCTGTACTTACAATTATCAAAATAAATCCCTAATGAAAATGTATCCCTGGGTTAATCTTTACCTATATGGATGTTTGTATCCATGTATCCATGGTTCAATGTGTTTCCAATATCCCAAGGTTGCCGGTATCCATGTATCCCTAGATTTTTATATTCCTGGGGTCATGTATCCCTATATCCCTGTATCCCAGTATTCATCTCCGGGTTCTAGTATTCATGAAACAAGATCTGGTTTGATACAGGTAGTGAGAAACACAGACACAACCTTCTGTAAAGTTTGGGAACCTACGGTTAGTTTAGTTGATCTTCTTCTTCTAGGATTAGTTCTCATTCTACCTATCCTCATAGGTGAGAAGAAATAAAAAAAACGTTAAAATACTTTCTAAAATATTTCTTTCTTAAGGTCCAGTACTGACTTCAGTTATTGAGGTAACTTATATCATTAAAATAAAAACAAAAATTGAATTATAAAAAGTTATAAAAATAAAAAATAAATGATTAAGATATTCACTCAATGTTACAACTGTCTGGATGACCTAGAACTTCCATCCAGGTACACTCTAATGTCTTTATGTGGTAACTTACTAAAAATAGAACTTCTCATCTGGCAGCTTCAAAAATGTAGAATTTCTGTTTTTCTAAATGAAGAACTTCTTGATTGACGTCTTCATAAGAGTCTTTGTCAAAAATCAAATTTTCTAATTCCTATATCTTTACAATCTGATGGTGTAACCTTTGATATTTCAATTTTAGATCTTTTTAACTAACAGAAGTTATAGTTAAAAATATTTAAGATCTACGGCATTGGGTTGCAAAGATATTGGGATCAGACAATCAGGGTTTGTTGCAAAGACTTGATTCCTTTAAAACTTCCTATGCAAATGTAAAACATCTTAATTATTACAATTTCTCAAATGTAGAATTTCAAAATTGTAAAACTTCTTAAGTGGCTACTTTCCAATTGTAGAACTTCAACACTGGCAACTTTCAATATGTAACACTTTTTGTGGCAACTTTGCCAATGAAGAAGTTCTTGGCTGTCAAATTAATTCAAACCAAATCAAGTCAGTCATTATTATGCAGTTAAACTTTAAAAAATTACCACCAAGAAGATCCTAACATTCTCAATATTAGCAAAGGAAATACACCATTTGATACCTTTTGCTCTTCTTTAATAGGTTTAACGAAATAGAAGAATAAAATAATTCGGCAAAACAATATAAATATCTTTTACGTGCCTGCAGTTTCTTTTTTTAAACAAAAAATCTTTGTTTAGGATTGTAATTATTGATAGAAGAAAATATCATATGTTTAATTGTAAGTTGAAAGGGACTGTCACGGGCAGCCGTAGTACATTTGAATTTCCTAGCCGGGTCAACATTTCCGGTCCCAGTTTGTACTGTATCACCTGGACATTGGGTAAATAAAGCTGACACTCAGTAGGACTAGCCGGTGCAACAAGGTTGACGTGGTCAGACTTTAGGTTAAATTTACTTTTACTAAAGGGTCAGAGGTGCTTGCTGTATACAACAAGTGTGAACAGTATGTTCAAAACAACATCATATTTAGATGGCGAGAGTTTGGTTTGGTATATTCTCTAGGATTCCTGGCGCTCCTCTCTCATATAATTAATCTGAAAGGAGCGGAGGTATTCATGTCAAACAATTTAATTCTAAAATTAATCCTTTTCAATTAACTTGCTGAAATGATTTCTGTTTCCCCTAGTATGTTGGGGGAGGATTGTTAGGCTTCTCATCTTATAGAATACTACTTTTCAAATATCTATTAGGTGAGTATTCAGTTTACAGTTTTATATCAAGCGCTTTAAACCCATTTTTCAGTAATAATCTAAAGTCTACATTGAAAAAAAAGATAAAATTGATAACATTATTTATACTTCCGTATCACACCAATTTGCGTTTTAACCTTTACAAATTTTAAAATTTTTCAAGGAACGAAGATAAGCTCAGTTTTAACCTTTACAAATTTTAAAATTTTTCAAAGAACGAAGATAGGCTCAGTTTTAACCTTTACAAATTTTAAAATTTTTCAAAGAACGAAGATAGGCTCAGTTTTAACCTTTACAAATTTTAAAATTTTTCAAGGAACGAAGATAGGCTCAGTTTTAACCTTTACAAATTTTAAAACCCTTCCAAGGACAAAGACGACAATTCTTTCCTCGTTTTCTGACTATCAATAAAAATAATTACACTGTGTATTTTTAGAAAAGCTTAAGGTTCTGTTTATCTGCAACGTTCATGATCGAAATGTAATATAATTAACGAATAGTGCGGGAAAAAAAATAAGAAGTCAAATGCCTTTTACAAGTCTAAACTTGTAAAGTTGTAATTCATAAGTTTGTTTTTACAAAATCGGAGTAGTCTAAGACAATTTAACTTAACTTTTTCGCTAATTAAACATTGTGAACATCCGAAATGTATCTAAGCTTCATTTTTTTGTAAAGTAGTGACCAGAAAATTGTGGAGAGATTGTCGTCTTCCTCCTTTCGTTTTTTAAAGAAATTTTACGTAAAATAATTTTATTTTCAAGATTCACTAAACAAAAATTCTGATGGGCAAATTTATAGAAATAAATACGTTTCAAAAATACTTTTCTCAACGACAATTTAAAATAAAAGAAAGAGTAAGACGACAACGAAACCACTGTTTTCTGATTACCAGTGTATGTATCTAGGATATATGGATCTAGTGCTTGCCCCCCTTGTCATTATTATCTGGGACAAAGATATTAGAAGGGGTATACCTTATGTTTACAGGTACTAATATAGTTTATTAAATGGCGCTTTTAAATGTCGTCTTAATTTTATCTGATTTTAGGATTAAACGATTAAAGGGTTCCAGCTCAACAAGCAGCCTTGGTCATGATATATAAACAAACCTTCAGAAGTTTTCATCTTAATTAATATATTTCAAACATCGCTCAATGTAAAATATTAAAAATCATGATTGAATAAAGTATTTTGTGTCTTACCCACCGTTCACATAGATTCTGACTGCTTATAAAAGTCACATCAATTTTTAATACAGGGTCGACTTTGAAGTGTCACAACGCCTTGGGCTTTGATTTTAACGCATTAATTTACTTTTCTGTAGCACTTTACAATTTCATTCTAGCACTTGAAAGCACTTTGTTATAAGCTTTATTTTTTAAGAAGTAAATGGTAACATTCGAATCCATTTTAATTGAGAGCTTGAGCCATTTAAATCACAGTGCGTTATTTTCATGATATACAGGATTACCCAATAAGAATGAGAGTATAAAGACGACCTGAATATCTTAAAATATGACGATTTCAAGTTCAAATTAAGCTGCCCTACGTGCAGTATTTTAATGGCTTATATTCCGATTTTGCAAAGAAAGAAACAAGTTTACAGTCGCAGGGAATTGCAAATTTAAGAAAACAGACCGTACAAATTCTGTACAGTCGTCTCTGAAGTCTTTTCCTTTGTGGTTAACCCTGTACAATTCGGGCCAGAAGAGAAGATAAGACCTTTCAAATCTATCTATCCATATATCTTATCAACTAAATGTCGTAGACCTTAGATATTTCAAACTATAAATAATGTTGGATCAAATAATCTATAGATTGAAATATCAAAGCTGAGAAACTTTGAGTTTGTTGCAAAGATTCAATTCCTTTATAGAATTAGGATGCTTGTTTAACTATCGAAGAAAAGGAAACATTCTAAAAACGTAGAAGACAATATTATCATTGAAACTTAAATGTGAGTGTCTAGCAAAGAGCAGAGAATGTCCAACGAAACATGAGAGTTGGTGAATAGTTTTAAAAGTCTTTTTCCATAATTTGTTAAGATGTTTTATACCAAGGGGAATAATAAAAGATATTATTATAAAGATTTATTTACACACAAAGATATACATACATATATTAATAGTATAGATTAAATTTGTTCTGGTTTGATGTTTGGCCTCCCAGCTGCTTGCCAAACACCAAACCATAACTTACTTTCAGCCTGATATGGTTTTACATATTCATTCCAACCAGAGCTCCCTTTCCATTTTTCATTTGCCACTCCTCCTGATATTGGTAGACACTACTGTATATTATATTGCAGTCAAATATAAAGTAAAATTGATTCTAAAGTAAAATATATTTAAGTGAAAGATTATTCTAACGAAATAAATTGCAAAATGTGACAATGTTTTCAATTAAAGTATACGCTATTTAAAACTATACCCCTGCAACTTTCATGTTTACTGGGACACCCTGTATATTTAAAGAGAAATTTAAAGTTGGCCATGGCTATGAAATTTTTAAGCACTTTTGAGCCTGAAAATAAGTTTAAAGCTACATTTTATGTTAATGTTCAGTCACACATTATACGCAGTACATCAAAATAGAATTCATGCTATACATATGTTCCTACCCGTTTTGCTTTCCAGCTAAATGCCTTTTCTTTTTAAAACTTTATCGTGCAATTAAAGTTTATATATGTACTTTGCTTGTATGTCTGTTTGTTTGTATCCAATAAACGTCAAAACGGCTGAACCGATCGGGCCCTCATTTTTTGTGGGTCCTCGCGTGACCCCACAGAAGGTTTATGAATGATCAAAATTTTGAAAATATGTCTTTAAAAGTTTTTTAATTTTATAAAATTTTAAAAATTCGCGCGAAAATATATTATAAAATCCGCAAACTTTTTTTTATTTTTTCTTACACTGTAAAAAGAGATGATACTCAAAAATAAAGCCACAATTAAAAGTTGAAGTATAAGATGGACGCGAAGCGTCTTAAAAGACTGTTAGCTTTAAATTGAGAAATTCGGAACTAATAAGAAAATATAAAAGGAAAGAATCATTAAAAATAATTGTATATTGCTAATATAAAGATTTTCATGCAAAAAATACTTCGAGTATTATGTACGTATTTTGGCACTAAAGCTTGGAGATAATCTGATATCATATTGTATGGTCTGTATGCACATCATCATATTTTATTGTGAAAAGTTCTTGATTTGGATTTCGATAAAGACGACTTTCCAAGCATTCGTAACAGATGAATAAATAAAATCTGTCATGGATAGGGTTTCCAGGAAACAATAGATTCTGGTATACATACGAAACCAGTTTTGCACGAAATTGTGCATTCATTCTCTAAAAAAATTGCACGAAATTGCGCTAGAATATAGAATTTCAGTCATAATTACAAACTCTAATTTTAATTCCTATAACTAAATTAATGTTGTATAACTTAGATATTTCAAACTATGAATTCTATTAGTTCAAATGATTTAAGTTTGAAATATCAAAAGTGTACACTATTAGGTTGCAAAGATTAAGGATTAGAAAATTTAAATTTGTGGCAAAGACTCAATTCCTTTAGAATATTAATAAAGACCAAATTTGTGTCAATTCTCTCATTCATAGATTTAAGTGTAAGAATATGTTTGTACGCGTGTATATATGTCACCGTTGCCGGCTCAACACCATCACTTAGAGCTGTAACAAAATATAAAAATGGTTCGTCATAGGGCTCTCATTTCTCAGATATTCCTTTCAGTCAAGGATGTTGATTTCTGTCGATTGTTGGAGGATTTTAGAGATTCTACAAGCAACGCCGGGTACCTCAGCTAGTTTAACCCAAAACTGACGGAGACATTAAAAGAATTTATAAAATGTTGTCTTTAAAACCTACTGACAATGAAATTTTGAAGATATTTTTTTTGATAATAATATGGTCTCCCATATGTATATTTATTATTATATTTATTATATTTTATTATATTATTATATTTATTATTATGGTCTCCCATATTTCATGGCTATTTATTTTTTAATTTTACAATTACTGAGATTTAGGTATAACAGTATAAACCTCTTTGAAAAATTGTCAAGACGACATTTTATAAATTTTTTGAATGTTTCCGAAGTTCTGGGTGAAACTGTAGTATATGAGCGAAAATTTGCTAACATAAACTTTATTTCTACACACTTAAACATTTCATGAAATAACACATTTTCCTTTATATTATAATACAATATATATATCTTTTTATTTAAAGTAGTTATCTCTGTTTGTTTGTCCGATCATAACTCAGGAACCCCTAAACCGATTTGCCTCAAATCTTGCCTCAAGTGCGGGTAAACGGCGGTAGTAACTTTTATTGGCAGCGCTGGGTTCCCAAGCTAGTATTATATATAAGTTTAAGCATCACATTTACTTGTTAAGGTATCAGGTTAAAAACAATCTGTGTGCTAGGATACAAAGGTAAAATGTCCAAAATCTGATTGAAATTAATAAATTATTTTAAAAACTGCTACTAATGATAATATATCATTAACTTTACACATATATGTTTATGTTCACAACAAATAAATTTTACATGTACAGAGTACAAACAAAGAAATTTTACATGTGCATTGACAAAAATCAAATAGAATCTGTAATCAATTTGATTGATCAAAATGCTTAAGTATTCTGAAGGAACTGAAATTGAAGTAAAAAAGGTATTCTATGTTAAATTGAAAATGCAGTGAAAATGTTTGGGTTATAATCTAATTGTATACAGTTAAACCAATCAAACTGTGGAATACGAAGACAACATCTTAGCGGTATAAATTGTATTTGATGTTGTTTTAAAGTACCTTAATAATCATCTAATAAGGTGAAATGGGTCTGCTGTGACATTGCACTATTGGTGTGCTTCATGCTAACGACCGTTTAAAATCAAAACTTACAGTCGTCTTCGTATTTCAAAGTTCTTTGAGTCTCACTGTACAAATAACCCCTGTTAAAGATAATTCTTGATTTTCTTAAAAAAGAATTTTGATTTGACTATGATTTTATATTAGAATAAAAATAAAAAATACATAAAAAATGTTTTGTGCTCACATGCTCTTTTCTATAGAGAGATATAAATGCGTAGTTTTCTAGTATTTTTGGATCCATTGGGTATTTACAATATTTACAATATCAAAATACATCAATTTTACACTTTTTGATTTTTTTTGATTTAAACAATGTGTGAAATGTTTCACTACAATTTACAACATTTAAAAACTGTTTACAATGTGTGAAATATTTCACTACAATTTACAATATTTAAAAACTGTTTACAATGTGTGAAATGTTTCACTACAATTTACAATATTTAAAAACTGTTTACAATGTATGAAATGTTTCACTACAATTTACAATATTAAAAACTGTTTACAATGTGTGAAATGTTCCACTATAATTTACAATATTTAAAAACTGTTGATAATATTCTGATCATATTATTATGCTGCAGAATTATGATAAAGGAAGTCAAATCAGAATTTTTGTGGTGTCAATATTAACTGATCAAGCGTTTTAAGATTAACAATATTTGACATCACAAAAATTCTGTCCTCGCCACTAACTCTAATTTTATAATCTAAAAATTGGTAATTTAAAATATTAAAGGTTTACAACATCTGCATGTTGGAAGGATAAAAAACTAGAGTTTGTGGCAACTATTCTGTTCCTTTTCACATTATACACAGGATTTTGTTTTTTGATACAGTGATAACCAGATAAATCTGGAATAGTAAGTCGACTTTTAAACTCAAGATAAGACTTTAAATAGTCCAAAGATCACGAGGCAATGCAATTGTGCAGTGTAAACAGACCCATTTAACTCAAAAGTGATTTGATAGCTTACTGGTTAAGCCATTTGCATTGTACCAGAATCAAATGCATGGTTAAATGTCGTCTTAATATTCTGGTAATCACTGTATTAATTTCACTTTTCAAAAATAATCTTCTTTTCCATAAAAATAAGTTTGCTATTATTGCAGTTATTGCAGAATGCAGATATTGATTATTTAAAAAATACTATTCACAATTCAAAGTTCCAGAAAGTAGAAATTTCTTTTAAAAAGTGAGGATTGCAAAAAGAAACAGTTTTGGTCGTTTATTTGGTCCACAAAATTGGTTAAAGGTAGATAAATAATATATAAAATTTTGATTTCAGTTTGCATTTTTCGTTAAAAAACAACTTTTAAAAAAAATAAAAAAATCTTTGTCTAATTGTAAAATTTGAATCATTCAAAGCTAAACTAAAATTAAAGTAACCTCTGTTAGAAATTCTTATTTAAAACCCGCATGCAAATATTTTACGTAAAATCGTCGTTTGGTTATGTTTGGGTCTTTTAATTAACCCCCTGATTTGTATTTAAAGCGCTTGATCCAAAAACTTCTCAATTGAAATTTCGTTGTCCTCTATATTAGAGAGGATGAGAACGTCCTCCAACATTGTGAAGAAATCATTCCTGAAAATAAATATTTAAAAAATCAACAAGTCGCCTTGGAAAATCCGCAATCGTCGATTATTAAAAATAAGACATTTTTATCTAAATATCAAACCTACTCAGATCAAAGACATTTTGAACGAAACTTTCATTTTTATAAAAAAGATACGATCTCATGATCCGAGCCGGTACAACATGTACTGTATATGCATTCAGTCGTACTTTCCAATCTGGACTACCCAGTGTAAACTCGACCCAGCACGTTTTATGTAACAAATGTAGTCTGAGCTGAGCTGAACACTTTAGAATGGAAGATATCAAGATCAATGCTTGATTCTCTCTTTTTTTTAATCTTAGATTAATTTCTAGAGATTAGAGATGCGTTCTTTAACTTTTGAAAAACCGGTTTTATTTTTTCTCGCATTTGAGATGTCATATCAATTGGACTAATGATCGATTGAACGAACGTAAGTTTTATATTAATGTTTTTTAAGACAAAAATTCTATAGTCCTCAAACGTTATAAAATATGTTTTTAGAAAGTTCATATTAAAATGATTAAATGTCCATTTGTTTAAATGCTCTAAAAGCCGGCTGGTGAACAACTGACTTTAGTTCAATCAGATATTAGTCCAATCGATATAGCATTGTATATGTATTTGTATCTTTATTACATGTAGGTGGAAATGTGATATCCAACGAGAGCGGATTAAAAAGAAAGTTAAAAGTTTCAGCAATGGATATTCAGATTAAGCGATCAGGATTAAGGGTATCTAATTCTAAAGTGTTAAGCTTTGAAACTATAATCTTTCTTCTTAATCCTCTTTTTTTGGATACCCCTATACTCTAGTGTATACAAGTTACGTTTGATAACAATTACAGATACGATGCTATATCGATTGGACTAATATCCGACTAAACTAAAGTCAGCTTTTCTCAACCCAGCTTTTACGGCATTTAAACAAATATAAATTTAATCATGTTGATATAAACTTATTAAAAAAACATATTTTATCACATTTGAGGACTAAAGCCATTTTGCACGTTAGTCTTAATAAACATTAATCCAAAACTTACATTCGTTCAATCGATTATTAGTTCAATTGATATGACACCATCGAAATGTGCAAAAATTAAAAACCGGTTTTTCAAAAGTTAAAGAGCGCATCTCTAATATCTAGAAATTAATCTAAAGACAAATTAATCTTGATATTAGCAAAACGAGAGGATCAAGCATTGATCTCGATATCCACTATTCTAAAGTTTTCAGCTCTGGAAAGATTACTGTATTCCAAGATTTATATTATACACGTTCAATATGTCGGATGCAAAATGTACTAAATTTTTTATCTAAAATACTGAAAGGTCTATTAACTTGAAGATTACATTTCTGATTAAAAAAGTTTATTTTCTTCACAAACTATCTCTATCTCTCTTCTCCGTGTAAACTGAAGCTAAAAGTAGATTCTAACCTTGAGGTTATTTATAGATTTTCTTTTACGTAGTTCTTTTCATAATAAACATACTTAATACATTACTGAACGATTACTGAAAAGGGTAAAAAAACACAGTTATGGCTTAGACCGAAAGAAACTGAGTTCTTCACACTAGCATTTTGTAATCCATATATCTTAGCAACCTGTTGGTTTTTTTTCTGAAAAAGAGTAATTTTTTTAATTCGCAAAAAAACTGAAAATTTTCATCAAACGGAAATCTTAAAATCCGATTATCTTTGAAACTGTAAAGACGACCTGACCTTTATAAATATGATGATTCCAAGGTTGAATTAAGACTTCTACCTTAAAAAAAGTCGTTTGTTGGCTTTTTTTTTATTTTGCCAAAGTCTTATGTTTTGTGGGTATGTAGATTTATCAATACTGTTGTGCGTCCCTAAAAGTACATATACTGATTGCGTCCAGTTTATCCAAGGGTTTCCCGATCAAGAAGAGAAGTTATCATAAATATAAGGGGCTGAACGTGTAATTCAAGTGAAACCACAATTGACAAAAAACTAAACTTAATCAGACAAAGGTTTTAAGAATCGATATTTGCAATCTTTGCATGTAGGTCTACTGAAAATTCCGTTTACAGTCCTTTTATTATTGATCGGAACATTGATATTACAATGTTCATAAGGATAGAACCAAGAGAAACAAAGAACACAAACTCAGAATCGAAACCTATACGGAGAAGGATAAAAAAAAAATCCTTAGGCCTATGAATGGAACCCCCGGAGCAGTTTCTTCAGCAGTTCCTGACCTTGGAGCACGTTCCTATACAGCCGAATATCCTAGAGTGGTCCCATCTAAAGAAAGAACCACCAGGGAAGGTTTCATCCAAGTAGGAGCCAAAAGGACAGGTTCAGGGTCAAGAAGGAATCCTTAGAGCAGGTTCTGACGGTTCAGGAACCCATTGAGCAGGTTCTTCCGGAGTAGGAACCCATAGAGCAGGTTCTAGTGGATTAAGAACCCTTGGAGCAGGTTTTACTGGATTAGGAACCCCTAGAGCAGGTTCTACTGGATTAGGAACCCCTAGAGCAAGTCCTAATGAATTAGGAACCCCTAGGGCAGGTTCTACTGAATTAGGAGCCCCTTGAGAAGGTTCTACTGGATTAGGATCCCCTAGATCAGGTTTTAGTGGATTAGGAACTCCTAGAGAATGCACTACTGGATTAGGAACCCCTAGAGCAAGTTCTACTGGATTAGAAACCTTTAGAGAAGGTTCTACGGGGTAAGGAACCCTAGAGGAGATCTTTCAGGATCCAGAACTCTGAGACCAGTTTTCCCAAGACTTTTTAGAAGGTTCTACGGGGTAAGGAACCCTAGAGGAGATCTTTCAGGATCCAGAACTCTGAGACCAGTTTTCCCAAGACTTTTTAGAACCCACAGAGCAGGGTTTAGTATTGAAGGACCAAGTTTCTAAAAACTAAAACCCCCCTGGTGTAGGTTACTCTGCAGCAGGAGCTCCTGGTGATGGATCCCCTAAGGTAGGAACCCCTAGTGAAGGTTCCTCCGTTGTAAAAGCCCCTAGTTCTATTGTAACAGTGGGCGAGTTTTGTTGATCTTTTACGATCAGCAATTCAAGGATGTTTTGGATCGCTGAGATCATAGCTACCAAGGGGAATCATGCCCCCTTTCCCCCCCCCCCTCAAGAC